TACGAATCTAAAGTTAGATTTTCAAAATTTAAAATGGCGGCTCCAATATGGCGGACGATATCGACCCTTCAAAGGTGATAATTCCGCCCTTACACACGAAACTAGGAGCAATTAAACAGTTTGTCAAAGCCTTAGATAAAAAAGGAAACTGTTTCAAATACCTGGAACAAAAGTTTCCAGAAATCTCTGATGCGAAACTAAAAGAAGGGGTTTTCGACGGACCACGTATTCGCAAATTGTTAAAAGATGAGCAATTTATTACCAAGATGAATAAAAAGGAGAAAGCCGCATGGCTTAGTTTCAAAGCAGTTGTCGGAAATTTTCTGGGTAATCACAAGAGTGAAAATTGGGAGCAAATAGTTAGTGATATGATTAAAAACTTTGGTAAGTTAGGATGCTTAATGAGCATAAAGTTGCATTACTTAGACTCGCATCGGGATCAATTCCATGAAAATTTGGGAGATTACAGTGAAGAACAAGGAGAACGATTCCATCAAGATCTGAAAGAATTTGAGCGTCGTTATCAAGGAAGATGAGATGTAAATATGATGGCCGACTACGGTTGGATGCTGAAAAGGGATATTGTACCTGGAGTCACCAATTTGAAAAGAAAACCATTACACAGATCCTTTGAGGACAAAAGAGTGCGCTACCATAAAAAGACGTAAATACCTTACTTATGTAAATAAGAATTTCCATTTCTAGTTTTGAAAATCTAACTTCACATTCGTAATCAGCGACCCAAAATAACCCCTAGATACCAAGTTTGAAGTAAATCCATCAATTTTTACAAAATTCGTCCGCCATATTGGAGCCGCCATTTTGAATTTTGAAAATCTATATTCAAATTCTTCATCAGCGACCCAAAAAACCCCTAAATACCAATTTTGAAGTAAATCCATCAATTTTTTAAAAAAATAGCCTACCTCTCAAAATCCGACAGGTTTTTGGAGGTTAAAAAAAATCCTGACGTGATGGAGCAAAACGGACTTCGGATTCGTGTTCAGCGCGTCAAAATACATGGGAAATGACTAGTCTGGTCTGCCGCGCACGACACTTTTTTTTGTGGGGCTGTGTTATCCAGCAAATGTATTTAATTTAAATTTATAAATAATTATTGCACTCTTAATAAATAAATTATTACTTGCATTATTGAGACTTTTAAAATTATTAACACACCTATTGTTTTTATGTTTACTTGTAACGTTTTGTCAATCATTATTTATTTTTAGCAATTATTTTAAGATTACTATTATTAAGTGTAAATAATTGTAAAGGGCTTAACTGTCCGGTCTTTTATATAGTCTTATCCTTAATGGTTGGACCAAAACTAATCTTGGCTTCACTGTCCAGTATTTATCTAGTCTTATCTTTATTGGTTGGACCAAAATTAGTCTTGGCTTAAATGTCCGGTCTTTTATCTGGTCTTATCTTTATTGGTTGGACTAAAACTAGTCTTGGCTTAACTGTCCGGTCTTTTATCTAGTCTTATCTTTATTGGTTGGACCAAAACATAGTCTTGGCTTAATTGTCCGGTCTATTATCTAGTCTCATCTTTAGTAGTTGGACCAAAACATTTCTTGTTTTAACTGTCCTGTTTATTATCTAGTATCGTTTTTAGTTCATTGTAATCTTTCGTGCAATGCACAAGTCTCTCTCTAATATATAATAAACATGGAATTCGAACTTGGCAGCGGTAGTGTCTGGAAGGAATATGTTCTGGCTCTCCATGCATTATCAATGATTTTTTTTTATTTGTTTGACTTTTAAGTGCTGGTTACATTAGTCAAGTTCTGTGTAGTGAATTTATGTGATCGGTTCTGCTTCTGAAAGCAATATAATATCTTTTTTGATAATATTTTATTTGTTCTATCACGTGCTCTCTAAAAGTGATCCTCAAAGTTTGTTCTGAATTTGGTCCGTTTTCACTATTGAAAATTCCTACAAAGCTTCCCACGTGTGATCCTTTAAAACGAATCAATTAGGAATCCTCATAAGATCTTACGTGGGATGCGTTTAAGAAAGCTCCCAGACAACATACGACTTTACTGTACGAATTTGGTTCAGGCAATGTTACAGGAAACTATATAGTTTTCTATATAGTTTCCTACGTAGAATCCTACAGAGAAAGTGACAAAAAATGAAAATTAAAAAAAAATTTGATGATTTTTTTTTATTTGTCATTGTTGCCTTCAGTTTTCTTAAAAGTCTCAAATTGAGACCAAAAATTGCATCAAATCTTTGCAACGAATCGACTCATAATTTAACGAATTTTTTCAGATATTTTGGTAATAGTACAATTGCGGAGACCATTTCACTATTTAATTTAAATATGAAAAAACAGAAAATCAATGACAATATGCAATTTGATAATTAAAAAGTGACAGCTTATAAACATAACCTAAAATGCATGAGAAAAAATTTCTCGGTAAAATCAATATAGCCGAGCTTTTTAGAAGGTAGATGGCAGCACTCACCTATTTTCTTTCTTTAAATTTTTTTCTGAATCGTTTTTATAAAAAACAAAACTGCCATCTACCTTCTAAAAAGCTCGGCTATATTGATTTTATCGACAAATTTTTTCTCATGCATTTTAGGTTATGTTTATAAGCTGTCACTTTTTAATTATCGAATTGCACATTGTCTTTGATTTTCTGTTATTTTCATTTTCAAATTAAATAGTGAAATGGTCTTCGCAATTGTACTATTATCAAAATATCTGAAAAAAATTCGTTTAATTTTGAGTCGATTCAATTCGGCCATGATTGATATAAATTGATTAAATTTTTTGCATCAAAAAATGAGACCATTTCGTGTATCATTTCTAAAAATGATACACAAAACGATCTCTTTTTGATAAAACTTATGTGCATCAAAACGTTGCAATAGAAAAAGAGACAACCAAGTTTACTGTGTTGCTTGTTTTTCGATTTCTAGTATTCGGGAGAAATATTTAAAAATAAATTTGAAGGGACTGGGGATTGGACCCGCGTTTCGTTTATCTTGATATATGTTGTAGTACTCGAAAAACTAATCAACAGACCGAATTCATTTCAAATCAGACAGGCTTGACTTGGTCGGAGCTGAAAATAATTTTCACCTGCAAAATGTTATTTTTCAATGAATTTTAGACGACACGTATTTTTTTATTTTGCTGAAAAAAATGTTTTCTTTAAGTTATAAGGAGTTCAAATATATAAGTCGAGAACTTCGTTTTTTTTAAATGAAGAGAAAAAATCTTAAAAGTGTTGTAACTTTTTGAGTAATTAAGATAATTCACTTTTTCCTTTTGTGTCAGAAAGGACTTTTTGACTATTATTATTTTTAAATATGAAAAGATCTTTTAGGTCTTTTAACGAGGAACAACTTTTATCTGAGACATTTTTTTATATCTAGTGTATTTTTTGAGAAAAATGATGTTTTTCTTTTATAAAATATAAAAAAAATTTCTTCTCTTGTGCCAGAATCGGGCACAAGTTAAATTCTTGTGGGCAATATTCCTCCCTATGAACACAATCTCCAAAAAAAAGTTGAGCAAAAAAAAGGTGGGGTTTTTGTGTAATTTCAAATTAAAGTTTTTTAGTAAAATGGCCGCCATTTTGTTATTTTTAAATATTTTTTAAATTTCCCAATGGATTTCGAAATAAGAATAAAAGTCCTTTCAGACACAAAAGGAAAAAGTAAATTATTATCTTAATTACTGAAAAAGTCCTTTCTGACACAAAAGGAAAAAGTGAATTATCTTAATTACTCAAAAAGTTACAACACTTTTAAGATTTTTTCTCTTCATTTAAAAAAAAACGAAGTTCTCGACTTATATATTTGAACTCCTTATAACTTAAAGAAAACATTTTTTTCAGCAAAATAAAAAAATACGTGTCGTCTAAAATTCATTGAAAAATAACATTTTGCAGGTGAAAATTATTTTCAGCTCCGACCAAGTCAAGCCTGTCTGATTTGAAATGAATTCGGTCTGTTGATTAGTTTTTCGAGTACTACAACATATATCAAGATAAACGAAACGCGGGTCCAATCCCCAGTCCCTTCAAATTTATTTTTAAATATTTCTCCCGAATACTAGAAATCGAAAAACAAGCAAGGCAACAATGACAAATAAAAAAAAATAATCAAAATTTTTTTTAATTTTCATTTTTTGTCACTTTCTCTGTAGGATTCTACGTAGGAAACTATATAGAAAACTAGATCATTTCCTGTAACATTGCCTGAACCAAATTCGTACAGTAAAGTCGTATGTTGTCTGGGAGCTTTCTTAAACGCATCCAACGTAAGATCTTATGAGGATTCCTAATAGATTCGTTTTAAAGGATCACACGTGGGAAGCTTTGTAGGAATTTTCAATAGGGAAAACGGACCAAATTCAAAACAAACTTTGAGGATCACTTTTAGAGAGCACGTGATAGAACAAATAAAATATTATCAAAAAAGATATTATATTGCTTTCAGAAGCAGAACCGATCACATAAATTCACTACACAGAACTTGACTAATGTAACCAGCACTTAAAAGTCAAACAATTAAAAAAAAATCATTGATAATGCATGGAGAGCCAGAACATATTCCTTCCAGACACTACCGCTGCCAAGTTCGAATTCCATGTTTATTATATATTAGAGAGAGACTTGTGCATTGCACGAAAGATTACAATGAACTGAAAACGATACTTTTAATCGGAAGTAGGTAAAGACATCTAAAAAGAAAGAGTTTGATTCGCGTATTATTAATTTGAAAATTCCGACAAGAAGTACCAACTCAAAAGCGGTATACAAATTTGATACATTATTTTACTTTCCGATGGCTTATATTAAAGGAACGAAATTATTTTAATAAATAAATTTTGGCGTTGCTTAGAGACATTATCAAGGGGTTTCATTCAATCAACATCCTTATCAATAATTGAAATTAAATTGTTAAGCCTCAAGACATACTTAAATATACCTTAAAATCCAAAAAACCTTCATTTATCTCTAGTAAACACTTACATCTCTTCTTCGTTTTGCATCTTCAGTACTTCCGATCGGTTCTGTTTCTGTTTGTGGGCCCAATTCTACGACAACTTGAAAATCAGCATGTTCTCCTAGACTAAATCCTACGCCAAATCTAGAATCAGTTCCTATGCAAGAAAAAAACTTATTAATTATTTTTTAAACTATATTGCATAATATTGGTTTCAGATTGTTGTAAAGAATATACTATACTGCGACAAGTTTCGTGCAAAAAGTTGTGCTAATGTAACTCAGAAAACTATTGTAACTCTGAAAAAATATCGGCCGCAATATTTAAATTTCAAGCAACTCACCTTTTTTAACTGGTGGAAGATTGGAATAAATAAGAGAAAGAAGTGACGGAATTTCATCAGGTACTATTAAACATATTGTATCTGAAACAGAAGCACCATTACTAAAAGTCGTCTTTAAGACAACTCGTGTTGTAAAATGTATAAGAAAAAATTTTTTGAAATTATTTTGTTCTCCTTTTTGTACTCCTTAAAATTTGTTAATTGTTTATTTAAAACTTAAGATTTTTTACAACAAAAGTGTATAAATATGAAAATGGGACAACATTGTGTTTTAGAGAAAATTTAAATAAAAAACAAATTTTTTTCCTCCGTTTTCCATATTTTTGGATATACTTCCGAATAATCCAATTTTGCCAATTTTTATATTTATACATTTTTTTTGTAAAAAATGACAGCTTTCAAATAGAAATAAAAAAAAAATTTTAAGATGGCATAAGGGACCAAAAATGAAAAATAAGAGCTAATTTTGAAAAAATAGGGTTAAAAATTTTGTTTGGCTTTTTTCAGAGAATGCCTCATACACAAATATATTTTTTTATAAAAAAAAATTAATGAATTTAACTTACATTTTAAATAAAGAAAAAGAATAACAAGCACACATGTAGTCCTCATTTTAAACTCTTTAGAAATTACTAATGCTTACTAATCGTGTGTATTTTGTTTACATTGTTTCCCTGTTCAACAAAAGTAACCTGAAACATAATAAAAGTTTGAACAATTTCTACAATTCATGTAAATTCATGTGAGAATTTGCTTTTGTGTTTCTACATAGGAATCCATGTGGATTCTTATGTGGTTTCTTACATTTTTTTGTCATACTTGATAATTTTTGTCAATTTTCTTCATAATTACCCGCATTAAATCCTATAAAAAATATTATAATATGAAATCCTAAAGATTTCCTTACCTATATAAAATCTTACATAAGAATCTCATCTAACAACCCATATGTGAATTTTCTGCACGATAAATGACAAATTATTTGTTTTTATGTTTAAATAGTTTAAAATAGTTTCAATCAAAAATTAATTTGACAGAAATTAGAGAGAATATTAATTTTATAGAATATTCATTTGCTTGAATATTAGTGTTCCAGAAAATTAAAATAGTCGAAAATCAATTTGCCAGAAATAATTCGGTGGAAACTTAAAATTTGACCAATCACAATTTTCATAACATAATTTCTGATTTTGATTCTATCAAATCATAATTCTAACAAAATTTTTTTAGAGCATATTCATGCGCTCCAATAAAACATAAATATGTTATATATGTATATATAAATATTCTCCACGAATATTTGGATATTTTTTATAATTTTATTTATTTATAATTTATTTATAATACTATACATAAAATATAACATAAAATTATAATTTTCATTAACAAAATAGTATGATAAAATTATTATTATACATTTCTGTTAAATAAATATTATTTTTTTATGAAATATGAATTATCAATTGCTTAAGTTGGAACGCGCTCAAAACAAATTTTTACGTTTTGCTGCGAAACAAGTTAACGTACACTATGATTTCTTCAGTCATGATTACACTAATCTTAGAGAGTCGCTTATGGTCCCAATTTTTTCATCTAGAATTATTTATCTGGATTTATTGTTTTTGTTTAAAATTATAAACGGACTTATTGATTGCCCTCTTATACTATCTTGTATTGACTTTATTGTTCCCACAAAAGGTTTGAGAAATCAGAAACTGTTTAAAATACCATTTAATAGACAAAACTATTTGGACAATTCTGTTTTAAATAGAATATTTGAGGAGCAAATTTTCAAAACTTGATAAATCCATTTTTCAAAAAAATGGAGACAACCATATATTTAATATTTTAAGGACCTCACAAATCGATCTGTCACTGTTAAATTTAAGGAAAAAAATTTATTAATTACAAATTTTGAATTTAAAAACTTATTGACATAACCAAGATGATTTACAATTTGTATGTTTTATATTAGAAAAAATTTCCAAAACCTGTAAATCACTCAATTATGACAAAGTTCAATTAGAAACATAACGTATTGAATATAAAAACATTGATATAGAAATAAATTATTATAAATTTTTTATTTTAAAATTAACTCTAGTGGTTATGTGTGGAAAGTCATTTGTTTAAATTTCTCGAAATAAAAAAATATGGATTTATCAGGTTTTGAAAACTTGCTCCTCATTTTTTAGGGGTAATGAGTATTGTGATGAGCTAGATTTTTTCGGTATATCATTAGATAGATTTATCCGTGATTTGCGTAAATTAATTTTTGAGTAAATGTGTGACTGCCAAGGCGATTTGTTTTACTGCTTGTAATTTGATAATGTAAATTTATTATTTAGTGCTTTTGCACAAAAGGGCATTTTTCTTTTTCTTGTGAGCCCGTGCATGGTAATTAAATAAAAAAATTTATGCTTGACATAAAATCTTTTAAATAAAAATTCGGTGAACAAGAATATCTGCTGCATGTAAAATGTCGTCTAAGTAGAAATTCCGTTAAATCAAAATTTAGTTAACTAAAAATTCTTCGATAAAAAAATTAAATTTAATATAAAGTCCACTTTCTGAAATTCTGCTAAATAGAAATTCGATAATTAATAATTCGACAGCGCAAAGATCTCGGTGTAATGTGTAACATCGACAGGATTTACGTAGTAAAACCTTACACTTTTAATAAGTTCCAAAAAAATTTTAATTAATTTACGTGGAAAAATATCATTGTGATTATTATTTTTAAAGACAACATTTCTATAATAATTTTATAATTTTTAAAATAATATTAATCAAAAAATGCAATAAAATTATTAAAAAAACATTCTAAATTTCGATCCTACTTTTATGGGTTCATTAAACTTTGTCAATTTCTAAACTAAAATATTTCAAAAATGTTTTGTGAAAATTTTACAAAGATTTAATTATTTTAAGTAACCTATTTTATGATTTTTTTATTTATAATCAATAAACAATTTCTACCATTTTTTTCACCTAAAGTATTAGATTGATTCTTATGAAATTCTAACCACTAATATTATTTTTAAAAACTATTAAATTTAATTTTAAAACAGTTTATTTAAACAAAAGTAATATTATGAAAAAAGGAAGTAACCTTTTCATAAAAAATTTCAATTACTATTTGCAATTTTAAGAAAATTCTATTAGTGTATTATAAAGCCAATTCCTTCTAAAAAATTTCTACACAATGTGGGATCCTCGATTTGAAAGGAATATAACTACTTGTTTTATACTTGAACTTATAGCAAGACATATTATTATATTATATCATTAATTACATTATTTATTTCATTCAAAGTCATTGCAGTCTATTTTTAGACATTTCTGATACTTTTCTCGGGAAGGATTTGCGATCCCATACATTGTTGTCAATTATTTAATAATATTTTCAATACTTACATTCTCAGTTTTTCTCATAAAAACAAATAGAAAGTTTTTCATTTTAACTTTAATTATTTGTTTTAAAAAGACTAATTAGTTCCTAGAAATATATTTGTTGAATCACTCAAGAAATTATCGATAAACTAAGCATTTTCAACCTGTTAAATTATCTAATACTTTTAATTGCAACATAATTCCAATAACCAAAGCGAAACTGAATATTTGAGAATTAGTATTTTAAACATGTTGTCCCAAAAATCAGAAGAGGAATAAATGTAAGTAAAAAAAATAAAATATCCATGAACTGCGCAATTTCAGGAAAATATGATAGTTTCAATTTGAATTATAAAAATCTAAAAAATCCATAACTTTTATTTCTATATAAATAAACATTTATTTATAGGGGTAGTAATAGCTAAATAAACAATATAATATTATATATACACTTATTTAAAAAAGTGTAACAAAAAATATTGGATATTAATTATTATTGATTTACTAGGTATACAATTTAATATAAATTATTGAAAGATTTAAGTGGGATTAAAAAAAATTAAACTAACCTAAATACAAATATAACGGGCAGCGACTTTAAACGAACTGACGTTCTGTTTGATTGCTGATTCTAGTTTCAAGAGTCTTTCGAGAAGTTTAACCGAAGTTTTATAGTGAAAGGAGTTCCCGCCTTATCCAGGTCGGTGACATATGTCTGATTCAATATATTAACTCTCTCCAGTTCCGACCTTCCCATTACTATTAAAGATGGACTTTTCCCTACGGAGTAATATGCATAGAAATTGAAAGTTGTTATATTATCAGAGCGGATGACGACCTCGTGCTATTAATCTTTGTTCATCTTGAAACAAATACTAATATCTAGAAGTTAGATTAAATTTTAAATTGTTTTATATGTAAAAACATAATAAATTATTATTGTTGTTTAACACCTAGAGGACTGATAAATAATGCCAAATGTTGATCGAATTAGGTCAACCCTGTCAGAAACGTGATGTATAATTGTAATCACTTCCGCAAACATTTTCATGCAAAACTATTGCGTAAATATTTTATTCCTCTGTTACGTTACTGTTTCATCAATATAATAATTTTATAAAATAATGTTCTATAATATTTAAGTAATACTGTTATGTAAATGGTATCTCTGTAAAACCTTTAAATTTTCAGTTGTAATAGAACTAAATTTTGTTTTGAAGCTAGTACATCTTTTGAAATAATTTATTATCTTCATTACCTTCCCACAAGGGGAACGCAAGAATATTTCTCACAATAGATGTGTCAGAATTTTTATGTTATCGAATGATAAATTATCGAATTTCATAAATTCCGAGTAATTTAAAAACAAATTGAACCTTTTAGTTCAAAAATTGATTGAGATATGGCTTATTCTGCAAAAAACCTGTTTTTTCGTGATTTTAGCCAAAATCCGCTATATGTTTCAGTTTCATCAGCATAACTTTTAAATTAATGTTTTCTCGAAAAAGAGGCCACATAGTGAGGGAAATGATTTCAACATTTTTATGTTCGCAGTACATTGAAAAACAATGTTCTCCAGTGAAATTCCAACTTAACATAATTTTCTTATAGGTTAAATTTTTTTTTAAGGTTTCGCCGTATTTTTTCTCTAATTTGTAGATTCACAGCTTTCATCTCCAATTTTTTTTTATTAAATTATATCAATTCTGTCAAAATGTTTCTGCACTAAACAAAACTCATGTTTTTTTTTTTTTTTTTTTTTTGGGTCGCTGATAACGAATATGGCTTCAGAAATTCAAAGTAGAACACTGTTTGAAAATAACTAAAATATTGTTTATTTTTATTATTTATTAGAAAATTTTTGTAGCTTTAACACCGTTAGAAAATAACTAAAATATTTATTTATTTCTCGATTTATTTTAATTCTGTTAAACAGAAATTCTTCGATATGGAAATTAGGTTCATTATAAAATCCACCATATAAAATTCTACTAATTGAAAATTCGATAATTTTTAATTTGACATAACAAAAATTCCAAGAGGTTTAATATGGGGAATACTTATGTGTCCCCCTTCCAAGTGGGCCAAAAAAATATTTCTTTCAAAATAAAGTTCTTAAATTGTTTTTAGAACGAATACCTACATCTACGAATACCTTCATGTTCTGAAAACGTTTCTAGAACATTATTATTTATTCACTTATCCATATATGATATACCATAACTTTCCGTTTCGGATGAACTACCAGTTAATGCATTATTAATTATTATTTATTCATTAATAAAACATTAAAAATAAGTTTAAAATATATAATAATAGAGGCAGTTGAAATTGACTACAAATAAACTACGTACGAGAAAACTGTTTATATATTTCCCATTTAGAAATTCAAACATTGTGGCTATCTGGTACTCATTTCCCTTACTAGTACAAATGGGATCTTTACATTTTCATGATCAAATTTGATGTTTTTTTACTTCAAAAACTATATTTTGTCACACTTGACTTTGAAAATGTCCAAATTCCATTTTTACTGATGTAGGGTCCTAATTTCTCAAACGGATAATACCTAATCTAAAATTTCAAAAAAAAAAATTAATCTTCCACGTAAAATCATTTTTTACTCCTAGAGTGATAAGTTTCTGAAATTATTAAAACCAAAAAAATTTGTTGTTCAATTTATTCACAATTAAAATTTTTAAAGTTTTAAATAAATTTTTTTTCTAATTAAAAATAGGAAAAGAACTAGGCGCAATTGCGCCTACATCTAGGGTTTCGTGGCGCTTTAAATTTTAATTAAAAAAAAAATAAATCAATGTCAACTACTGGGACATGTCAACTACTGGGACATGTCAACTATATAGAGATGTCAACTATTGGGACATGTCAACTATTGGGACATGTCAATTACTGAGACAGGTCAACTACTGGGACATGTCAATTATACACTGAGAAAACTGTTTGGTATCATCTACTGAAGTTTGGTTCTCCAAACCAAATTTTTTATTTGATATATGTGCAACTAATCCGTTTGGTTCGGGCTACTAAATTTTTTCGTTGAATCATTTTGTTCGGTCTACCAAATTTTTTGTTTTGCACAACTAACTTATTGTTTTTAAGCAAACAAAAAATTTAGTTAAATGAAAAAAATTTTTTTCTTTTCTCAACCAAATTATTTTTTGCTTCACACTTATATTTTTTATTTTTCACTTAATTTTATCACTTTTGTTATCCTCTTTTATTCTTTTCGCTTTATATTACCTACCACCCTATGTCTACTTAAATTAATTTCTATTGCGGAAAAACCTAACACTGCTGGGGATCGAACCCTCAGACTACGCAACGCAAATCAAGAACGCTGACCACTACACTAAGAATCCTAGTGACAATGTGAGTGTAAATTATTTTCATAAAGTATACAGGCTGGAGAAAAACTTCCGTTCTTTTAACAAGCTTTATTCTCTCGACAGCCATGTTATAAAATATGAGAATAAAGAATTTTTTGTTGTAATTCTCGCGATCATAATTGACGTGCTCGAGATTTTATTTGCATATTTTCTTTTCACCAAAACACAGTGACATTTGACAGTTGAAAACATTAGAGATCAAGAGTTCTTATGGTTTTTGTAATTAATACCGACCATTTTCCTATATAAAATTTTTTCACTCAGTAAATTAAGTGATAGAACTATCACTTCAATCAAGAAATTTAATATTTTGAAATATTTTCTAATGAGATGGTCCGATTTTCACATGAAGAACGAACATATTTCCCACATTTATCCATTTCTTGATCATATTGTTCGATATGCATCACTACACACACTTTTTTACCCAATTTCTGAAACACATAAAAATCCCGAAAACACTTGAATAAAACTGGACGATACGAAGAGCGAAGCATGGTTAACGTGTGACATCCGTAAACAGAGAAATAAGCCATATTTACGAGAACAGCGCATGCGCAATTGAGCATTCAGACGGTTTGGTTTGGAGAACCAAATTATTCAGTTAACAGACGCAAAAGCTTGAATGAAATTTTTGGTACAGCCAACTAAATTTCTCGATTGATTGCTTCTTTCGTTACTGATATGTCAACTAAATTTTTGTAATCTTAACTAAAAGTGCTCTACCAAATTATTTTATTACCATTACATTATTATTTTTCTCAGTGTAGGGGCATGTTAACTAATGGGACATGTAATGTCCAATCATGTAATGTCCATTCGGGAAAATGTCCATTCAGTAAATGGAGATTTGGGATCTGTGGAGCCCCAAAATTTGAATTTGGGAGCTATGGTGCCCCAAAATTTGAATTTGGGATCTGTGGTGCCCCAAAATTCGAATTTGGAAGCTATGGTGCCCCAAAATTTGAATTTGGGATCTGTGGTGCCCCAAAAGTTTAATTTGGGATCTGTGGAGCCCCAAAATTTTAATTTGGGATCTGTGCCCTAAAATTTGATTTTGGGAGCTGTGGTGCCCCAAAATATTCTACGGACAGACGGACGCCAAAGTGAAACTATAAGGCTTTCGGCCATGGGCCACGAAACCCTAAAAAAAGGTTTTTTGTCTTGAAGTTAATGTAAAATTAAATTATAATTTTTGTTCAACTAAATTTTTTATTTGAAATTGTTTTTATAATATTTTCTCGCATTTATTTATAAACTTGAACATTAAATAATGTTATTTAATAAGAATTATTTAATTATATAATAAAATTGAATGGAAATAATAATTATTATTCATTATGAATAATAAAATACGTATGAGGTATGATGTTGAACTCAGACCAAACATGTTTTTCCACAAAGAATATTAATTAGAAATTTTTCAATTATTATTAAATAATTATAACTTGTATAAATATTCCAAATTCGTAAACTGACAAGTTCTTTTTTTCTTTTTTATTGCTTTGGATAAAAAAATGTGTATTTTCAAATATATTTAAAAGGTATACGATTTTTTTTCATATTTATAAATAAGTAATCTCTTACCGAAATTAGTATCCTACAGATCAATGTTATAATTTAATGACATAATTATTTATGTTTTATGTACATCCGATATCGAAAAGTTTGAAAAAAAGTTATAATCATATTTAAGAATTTTTGTTGAACTGAATTTTATTTAATATACTAATTTCTATCGAATAGAATTCTTACTTTAAATAATTTTCATAATACGAAGTTTTAATTTAACATAATTATTTATTTTCAATCTAATTTTCATTCAACGAAATTTTCACTTAATAGAATTTTGACTTAACTTAATTCACATATAACATAATTTCTATTTGACAAAACTTTTATTTAACCGAATTTTCAATAAAGACATTTTTTATTTAAAGAAATTATTATTTAGCAAAATTTTCTTTTAATAGAATTTCTACTTAGTCAAATTTTTAAATAGCAAAATTTCCGATTGGAAGTTACATTTGTACAAACTGTCATTTGAAAGAATTATCAAATCACCGAATTTTCATTTGACCGAAATTGCAAATGGCCGAACAAATATCCGACAGAAAAGACAGAATATACAGCTTGCGGTTGGTAAAATTTCGGGGCTTGCGATCGTCGAGGTTAAGCTCACTTGAGTACGTTTAATACTTAAATACTGCAATCGAAATATATCAAGCGAAAGGTTTGACGTCAAAGTATAATGATGTGTACTGTCGATTATTATCGGGTATACACACCATTAGAACTCGACTGTCGATAAACCGGTTGAACTCAGGAGAGGTTTTCTACAGTTTCTCTCTTCTATGTCAAGAAAACCCATTTTCAGGTGGCCGATCGCGAAACCGAATTCGGTTTGAGGTAAAAAATGTCAAAAAATTTGTAAAAAATGGTAAAAACAATGATTGTAAGTAATAAATGAATATCTAAAGTATTAATTTATGCAATATTTTTGATAAATTAGATAATAATTACACAGGCGTGCAAAAATGAAATTTTTTCAGTTTCTAAAGTAGTTCCTGGTGATTCTTGTAGATTTTTTTGTGCTGAAAACTAATCTGACCTTTAAAATGCTTTATCATGTCAGGATTTTTGGTAAATGAAGCCTAAAGGGTCAAAAATGGTCTATTTTAGCCATTTTTGATAATTTTTTTTGGACAGAAATTTTTTTTTCAGTTTTCGACAAAAGGATTATAATAGTACACTTTGGCCATATATGACCACCTTAGAACAAAATACTAATTTAATTCGATTTGAGTGTCAATGGGTATACTAAGGTTTTTGGGGTCGCTGATTCCAACTTGGAGGTCAGATAATTTAAAGAATTAAAAATTTGTTCAATAAGATGTAAAAGTTGTCGATCAGGAACTCATATTTAGTAATAGCTGTTATATTTCTTTTATTCGTCTGATCCATACAATTGTGAACAAGTGTTCAGTAAATATTTACATGTTTACAGGTTCGTTTGTAATTTATTAAATGTTAATTAAATGAAAATTTCGGTCAACTAGAAAATCTGTTTTATAAAAGTTCGACTAAATAAAAATTCCTTTAATTATAAATTCAGTTTAAAATTCAATTCAATATGAATTTTATTTTATAAAATTCGGTAACATAAAAATTCGAGATCATTAATTTCGACTCCGCAGAAATTCTAACAAATACAATAGTCATGCGTTCCTCAAATTTTATTTCAAAATTGATTTTAAAACGAGGGAAATTATAACGGACCTTTATTTAAACGTAATGTTTGAATCAAAAACAAACATTTTCGAATTTAATACACTTTCATGAATAATATATTTTTGTTATTCTATAAATATTAACTATTTTACAAAAACATAAATGATCTTAAACTAAATTGTTTCAGATTTATATGAATGTAAAGGCGCTTTTTGTCGTGAACATGAATTTGATTTCTTTAAACACAATAATTTCTATTGTAAGATACATAACATTCGTTTTTTATTTACAACTGCTGTCAATGTCATTTCTCTCAATTTTATTTTTAAAAAATTGTTTTTTTAATCATGTATTTTCACTAAGAAATAGAAGATAATTGAGGAAATGGATTTTGTTTTGAGATAACTAATTTCTTATGCTGATGAGAGATATAGCCTTTGATTTTCTTTTCATTAATTAAATTAGCAACGAGACACTCTGTTTCGTCCATGTCAATATTTTCAACTCCATACATTTCTAAAGCAGTGAGTAAACTTTGAATTGGTATTTGATGAGTATTCAATACTAAATATACCTTTTTGAATAAATTTCTATAGGCTATAATTTTGAGTTTCTCTACAATCAAGTAAATACCAGCTTCTATAAAAAACGACTCGTGTTTACTCATAACTTCTTCTAAGTTGCGTAAATTTCCTTTTTTTACAGCTTCCATCAATTCCCAAAATTGGAGTAAATTATATTTTTCTAAGACATTTTTCTTCGGCATGTGTCCCAATAACATTTTCACTGGTACCAAATACGTAAGGATCAATCTTTTATTTTTAATCGATTGCTTGTGGCAATGTTCAAAAGCATATGTTAAATATTCATCAGCTGAAAATAATTTAATAAAATGAAGTTTATTAATCACAAATAGCTAAACAGGATTGACACAAGAAATTCATTTTATTATTCCCAGAATTCCAGTCAAAATTAAAATTTTTTCCCTGACCCTAATTATTTGCAAAATCAATTATTTTCAATAATTTAAAACAAATTATTTACATGATTTAAAACAGTTTTTAATTGAAAATTCACTAAAATTCAATTATTGTTTAAAGGTTTTAAAAAAAATTTCACCAATTCAAAATAAAAGTTTCAATAAATAATCTAATCTAATACAATTATTTCTAAATTTTGTATCTAAAATTCTTTGTTGAATAATTTAATTTTAGTAATTTTAATCAACATTTGCGAAAATTCAATTATTTAAAATATTTTCCAATTCAAAATTCTCCAAAGTTTAACTATAGTTTAAAGGTTATAAAATATCTACAGAAATTCTAATGTACGAAAATTTTTGAATAAAAATCTTCTGAAATTCAATTAGTTCAAAAATTTTTAACTATTGTTCTTCCAGAACTCAATTATTTCTTTTTTTAACTTAAATTTCTTTTTGAATTAATTATTTTTAATAACTTTAATTAAGTTTTTCAAAAATTCAATTGCATAAAACGTTTTTCAATTATTAATTCTTTAAAATTAAATTCTTGTTCATATAATTTTTAAAAAATATCAATAATTCACGTTTATTAAAATTTTAATAATCAAAAATCGAAAAATCAATTTTTTAAAACATTTTTTAATTGAAAATTCTCTAAAATTCTCTACAATTCAATTATTTCTAAAAAATTTATTTAAAATTCTTCGCTAAATTAATTTTTTAAATTACTTTAATAAACTTTTTCAACAATTCAGGGAAATAAAAAGTTTTTTAATTAAAAATACTCTAAAACTCTATTATTCTTTAAAATTTATAAAAAAATTTTTATCAATTAAAATTTATGAAAGTTTTAATTTCAAATCTTTTGAAATTTATTTACTTCCAAAAAATTTTTAACTCGAACTCTTCCAGATTCAATTATTTTTAAAATTTGAATTAAAAATCTTCTGAAATTTAATTATTTCACAAATTTTCGTTAAAAATTAATTTTTTTTTCAACAATGTTTTAATCCAATTCTTCGAAATTTAGAAGTCGAATAATATGCATCAATCAGAATTAAAAATTTTTCTTTTTTTAATGTAACTTTAAATTATTTTTCAAAATTTATTCTAAAACTAAATTGAAATCTTGAAAATTTGTCGCAGTTTAATTCGGTGATTTAATAAAAATAAAAATTCTAGAAAGTATTTCTTTGAAACATTCTTATTAAGGAATTAATAAATTTTTTAATTTTTTATAACAAATTGTTAATAATAATAATTCTTGTAATGTAAATCGACTAAAATGACTTTTTTCTTTCAAAAGTCGATCCGAGGCCTACAATTATAAAGCAAAAGTTTTAATTGAAAATTTCAAAAATTATAATTTTAGTAGCATATATATTTAGAAAGTTGATATTTTTCCAGTACTTTTCATGAAATTCCCTGATTTCCCTGACCCGTGGAAACCATGCTAATATATAAATAATTAATTTCACTCATAAAGTTTGTGAGAGCTAATATAAAAAGGAGGAAACGTTAAAAAATTTAAATCATAATCCCCTAAATATAATGAAGAAATAAAAACTTACCAGTCTTATAATCGCTATCAAACATAGCAGTGCGTCCTACAAAGAACTTGTAAGTAATTTTTTGTGCTAACGCAAAATGATCTTTATAAGCAGATGATTCTATTGCTCTAATTAAAGGTTTACATAGATGTAATTTATTAATTTTAAAATAAACTTTTAACAACTGATTCACAAGAGCCAACATTCCCCATCGCTTTGTATCTTCTTCAGAGCTTCGATTGTCCGCCGCACAAACTCGAAAACAACCCATTAAACATTCTGCACTTTTTTCTAAAACCTCGCCAGGCTTCTGAGATTTATTAGATTTTGAATTTTCAGCTCGCACTGCAAGCAATCTTAATTCGAGACACATCATATTCATCACAGGCAGCATCCAATTTTCTTCTTTTTGAAATTGTAAAATTTTTGTTAATGACTGAACTGCTAAACTCTGATTATTATACGTTAATAGTGGATCATCTTTATTTGCTGAAGCTAAAGTTCTGCATTTAAACAAAATTAAACAAACACAAAAATTTATCGGAATCATATTTTATATAATAAATTATCAATGATAATATAAAAATTTTAATAAAATTACCTTAAATGACAGACAACCAAATCATCAAAAGGAACATTTAAATTCTCCATTGCCTTATGTATTGCAATTTCTGAGCTTATTAGGGGAATGTTAATATGATTGTGACGTAAAGATAAAAGATCCTGAAAAAATTAAGAAATTGATTATTAAAAATCCATTAAAATATTGATAGACTCATACAAAAACTAAATAGATTACCGCTAAAGAATCGCCATCCTCATTGATCCACATTCGACGAAGCTAAACATAGTAATAGAAATTATATTTTAGACAATCATTTTTCATATTATACTTATTTAACGTTTTTCCCATAAACTACGTATAGGATTCATATTAACTTTTATAATTATATTCTTTATTAAGGCTAAATTATTACAGAATAATTTAAAAATATATTTTCGGGATATTAAATGATCTTCATGAAAATGATAATAAAATTCTACTCATCAGAAGATTTTATAGAAATCGACAATAGGTCCAAAGCATTGAAACTAATTATATTAGCAATCGTGTAAAGAAATTTCGATGTAAACTATTTGAAAATCTTTTAAATTATTATCTCACGTTAGTTTTTAATACCTTTAGTATACCTAAGATATTATAACAACATTATTCTTTTACGAAATGTAATTAATTTTTTTAAAGTTCTTCAATTTTAAGGATAACATTCTCATCATGACATTCACGGTTTATGCTCGAAAGTATGATACACAATCTAATACACTAATCAATACGCTTCGTACACATGGGGTTTTTAAAAATGAAATGGGTTGGAGGACAAACGTTTCAAAAAAAAAGTTCCGAAAGTTCTTTTTTTCAAAGACCAAAAGTTGTAATGTTCAAATTTTTTTTAAAAACACATTCTGAACACGTTGCTAGTTATTCATCGGTTTATACATTTTTTTACTCATTTGTTGTTTTACGTCATTATAACATTTTAACATCCCAGGGGCTATCATGAACAACGCCAGTTTTTAATAAATAAAACCTTTGTTTTTAAATATTTGAGTTTGTCGCTTTGAGTAAATGTTGTCTGATTATTTTTCTATAGAGGTCACTAAATATAATCATTTAATTTTTGTACAGAAAGCATAAAAAACTCGAAAATTAGGTTAAAATTTTCAAAAGTGCGCAAACTTTATAGTATTTTTCATAAAGTTTTTGAGTTTTTTGCAATATATTGCAGGTAAGTGTTGTCAACGTACTTCTGATGTTTTATGCATTAGCAGAATTTTATCGAGCCGTAATAGCTCTAACTATCCTTGCCCCATAAGCCCATATTTCAGTTTTTTCTAAATTTAAAGGAAAGACGAGAATTAATTTGAAAATAAATACCATGAATGACGCGATTTTTTAGCAAGCCGTCTAAGCATAACAGCAACTAACTATCCTTGCCCCATCCTCCCCTATAATTTATTATCATTATAAATTGGATGCAAAATAACTTTAAAAAAAGTAACTTTCATTAACATTAAGAAATTTTCAAGGTTATTTTCACATTTTTTTCTTAAAATAACTTAAAAATATTAGAAAAAACCATATTGTGTTATCTATTTAATCTAAAAATATTAATTTGTGGTATTTGAAAAATATAATTCCTAACTTTTAAATAAGGTACCTGTAGTTGTTGGAATAATGTTTTAATTTCAAATTTGTTGCATTATTCCGCTCCTTTTTTAAGGGGACTTTCTGGTTTAGAATTCCAAAAAAATAATTTTTTTTTACTTGTAAATGTTTCTTAATATCATAAAATTACTGTCCTAAAACGTTTTTTTTTTTTAAATATGTAAAAAAAACAAAAGTTGTAATCAAAAATTGTTTAATAGTCCTGGCTCAATGTATTATGTTATGAAAAGTTTAAACGCGTTTTTCTCGAAAACATATTTTTCAAACTGGTGCACGGCTTTTCTCGAAATCTACTGAACCGATTTTGAAAAGCTGAAAACCATTTGATTAACAACATTTGATCAACAGTTAAAATTTTTTTATTTTTTAATTCTTAATTTTGGTGTAGCGTAGCTAGAGTGAAAAAATGGCTTTTTTCTGACCATAATCGCCTCGGTTGACGATATTAAAAATATTTTAAATTAAAGAAACAATTTAATATTAAAATTTACTTTACGTACCGAAATTTATCTCACATAATATAAGGATTGTTTTAGACCATACAAAACCACAAAATTAAAAAAGGAACTTTACTTTTAAATTTATACACTACTGCTTAATGATATTTTTCCTGATCTTGAATTGAAAAAAAATTATAATTTAAAAATTAGAATTAGAATTTAATAATTTACAATTGAGGTAAATAAAAATTTATGAAGCAAAATAGTATGAATAAAGGAAAAAACCGCTGCCAAGTTGAAGCATAAACTTTTTGTGTTCATAAAATGAACACTTTGCTTCCCCATGGAGATTTGTTTTGATCAAATTATGGAAACTTATTTGGTATAATAATCATTTTAAGAAGGTGATAAGTTGTATTTTTTGGGTATTTGCAGAAATATATTTCTAACATCAATAACTTCGTAATATTTTACAATAAAAGGTTCAATAATAGGTCAATTGATTCGTTTTTAAATATTCTCCAAATTGTTCATAATACTTTTAAAGATACATAAAGATTTTTTAATAAATAATGCAAAAAAGGCAGGTTTTTCAAAATTTTTCAATTTCTAAATGTTAATATTTGTGGATAAAATAACAGTAGGATATTCGCTAATAGGTCAAAAGATGCGTCTTGAAAAACTCTACAAAACTAGAGATAAATATCTATTGGTATCAATACATTTTTTTTAAGTTATGGAAAAAAAAAAATTTTCTAATTCTTAAAAATTTAATAACTTTGTATAGAATATCAGTAGAATGTTCGCTAACATCTCAAAAGATGCGTCTTAAAAAACTCTACAAAATTAAAGCAAAATATTCATAGGTGTCCTAACATTTTTTTTTTAATTATGGGCAAAAAACGATTTTTCAAAAATTTTAAAATGAAAAAAATAATAGTTAATCTTTATTAATATTGCTCAAAGTACTATCATTATTTGTCCGCCAGTGAGACCTATAATTAAAAAAAAATTTATCCCTTTAGCTTTTACAGTATTCGAGATATTTAAGAAAATGTAGAACGACATTTTTTAAAAATGTGATTTTTGTATTCCGAGGTCGAAAAACATAAAGATATATCAAAAAATCAAGTTTAAATAATTGGAAATTTATAAGCTAACTTTAAATGTTTTTTCGATTTTTTTCTTAAGTGAAAAGAATAGTAAAACACTTAATAAATTAAATATTTTAATAGTTTGTTTTATTATTTAAATAAATAAATATCATAATGCAATGTTGCACAGATGCGTCTCATTTATTTACAGTTAATGTGTATTTTTTCTGTTACCGGCAAAATAAACTATTTGTCTTATTCCGACAATTTATTTTCCTTTAATGATGCATTTATGAAAATCGTTAGATAAACAATGTGAGTAATGTGTTAAGTCAGTAAAGGAATAAATCTAATTGTAAGTGTCTGGAACTGGCCTGTCAAATGTTAACAATTTTAAGGTTAAGTATAAAAAACTAAGATTTTATAATATAATATATATAAATTAATTTAAAAAGAAAATCTTACAAAAAAGAAGAATTAGAAATATTTATTAATATAATAAATATATTTTAAGTAATTGTTTCCAATTGGTTTTTGTTAATTTTATTTAATAAATATGTACCTGTGAAATATATGAATCCATTGTTTTAATTTTTTGTATTCTTTGTACTGTTTTAAAAGGATTTTTAATATAAAAAATAAACTGTAAAAAATTTAATGCACTTTAATTCAGTTTTTAAGTATTTCTTTATATTAAATTTATAAACAAAAACCACTATTTGAAAGGGAGACAAGCAAACATCAACAATGGTACTAAGGGTGAAATCACAACGAGACGTAAGGGCCAATGCACAATAGTTCGCGAACGTGAAGCATGAGTTAGAAAAGAACAGAGATATATTTTTGTAAGTTGGCCTTTACCGTATCATCTGATCAGGGTTGGTTCACGGTATTGGGACATGCTTATACACTACACTTCGTAAAAATAAAAAGGAAGCGGCAAGAGTATTGAAGTTATAATTTTAACATTAAGCAATAAACTGTTTATTGTTTATTAACATTATCAACTTTCGAATTAAATCAATATTGTTTTAATATATTGAACAGAAACATGAAGGAAAATGAAACGGATACAAAAAGTGCAATAAAGAATCGAGAATCTCTCTACAGATTAATAATCAGGTTAAATGTTTTTTTTTCTCAAAATATACACATTAATGCATGATACACTAAAATAAAATACGTAAAATAATTAACATATTTTTAGTTTTTAACGTATGTATTTTTAAATTGTTTTGTGACTATTGAAAATAGTCAAATTGGCGATTCGTATATCCTTTTGAGGTTATATTATGATTCGTAAATTTTATGTTATGAAAATATAGGTATTATTTTTTAATGTATTTATCGTACCAAATAATTGGGATGATAGTTTTTAATAAAAGTTAATTATGTTTTTATGTTTCAAATAATAAGTAGCATTTTTTATTTACTGTATCAATTATTTATTATCTTTAACATCATTGAAAAGAGACAACACTATTTTTTTGAAAATATTTAATTCTAAAGCGAAATTCATTGTAATTTACTAAGCATTAGTTTTTTAATAATTTCCAATCATTGTTGCTTGTAAATTTTTTTTTTCTAAATGCGATTTTAGTAAATGGCACTTTATTTTCTTAAGCAAAAAGATTCTTTACATCTTCACAGTTTTATATGTTTAACTTAAGGACGTTCATCCACGGAAAGGCATACCTCTGGAAAAAAATAATTAAATAACATTTAAATAATTAAAATAACATTATTAATTGTAGGTACTTTCGGAAAGATGAGATATTAATTTTGAAGAAAATAAATTTAAAACCTGCAAAGTTTATTTGTTTATACAATTTTCAATGTATAAAATTTTTTTGTTATATCGCTTCTATAGAATTTTTTTAAAAATGATTCGATTTGAATTTAATATGGTTTATTTTCTTCAGAAAATAATTCTCTACAACTTGACTGTAGGGATTTTCAAACAAGCAAGCCGTTTGGAAAATACAACTATTTGTTTAAAAAATCCAAATTTTTCTTTTAAACAAGTACACTAAAAAAAAGTTAATTGAATCAAGTTAATGCATTTACTTGAGGTACTTTACTTGAAACAAGACGATATTTTCTTACTGGAAGAAATTTATTTTCTTGAGTCAAGTAATTTTGAGCATTGAGCAATGTTCTTGAAATAAGAAAATATGAGTTTCATACAAGAAAATATATCTTACTGTTTCAAGCGAAATGTTTTACTTGCGTCAAGAACAGAAAAAGAATTGAGTCAAGAATATTATTTTCTCATGTCAAGTGATTTACGTTGAGTATTTTATTTTCTTGGTTCAAATCGTTTTGATGTTTCCTTCAAAACAACTTTTTACTTAGTCTAACACTCATAGTCTTGATCCAAGAAAATGGAAGGATTAATAGAAATAAATACTTGCTTCAACTTGATTAAAATTTATATTGCTTGAATTAAACATTAATCAATCCAAGTGTTTAATATACTTTAAGCATTTTCATATTATATTGTTTCAAAAACATTAAATTTCTAGAAATAATATTATATTATCTTAAATGAAATAATTTATTTTTTCAGTTGAAATAGTGATATAATCCTTGAAAATATTTTTTATTTAATTCAACGCTAATATAGTCTTGAGTCAAGAAAATGCGAATATTAATATAAGTAAATTCTTGTTTTAACTTGATTAACGCATAGTTCTTGAATTAAGAATTTAGTATTTGGCAGAAGTAAATATGTTATTATCGCAACCCAATATTTTATTTTCCCGAAGTACCAAAAAGTATTCAATTAAGAATATTAGGTTATTAAGCAAAATAATAAAATATTGTCTGAAGAATTTTCATTTCTTGAATCAAATAGTTTTATTCATTTGCTTTGAATTAATTTTTTACTTAACACAAATCCCGTATTCTTCATCCAAGAAAATATTTCTCTCCAAATGGATGTGAAACTTAAATAGGAGTTTTTGAAAACCATCAATTGAGTCAGGATGGCATAGTGGTCTACGTTAAGTATTAATTAAATATAAATGTGTATGTAAAATAAACATTATTTAAATAAATAATAAAAAATATGAATGTTAATAATAAATAAAAATGTTTGACTTAAGAATTAGACATGGTGGGATAAGGAAGGGGTAAATTCAAGTAAATATTTACTTGTATTGGGAAAATATTTTTTTGGTTCAACTCCATAAGTTTTCTCAAGTCAAGAAAATATTGTCATGAGTTAATATATATATGATCTTGACTTAATATATTTTACATTTCTTAGAAGTCAATAAACTTCTTAGACGAATTCCATATTTTCTTGGACCAAGAACATATGGTCTCCTCACAATATAAATAATATTTTGATTTAAATCTTGTCTTACTTGAACCAATATTGCAAAGATTTGAATGAATCAAATGAAACAATTGATTTGACTACATATATTCTCAGAACAAGAAAATATTTTCTTCCTTTAATGTATTTTACATTTATTACAAGTTGATTAATATATTGCTCGAATTCCATATTTTCTTGGATCAAGAATATATGCTCTCGTCCCAAATATACTATCTCAAGACAATCGTTTACTTGAACCAATGCCGTAATTGACTTGTCCCTATTCAATTCCACGGTTTACTTGAAGCAAGTAAAATTTTCATGATTCCATACTATTTTTTTTCAGTGTAGCTGTGTTTTTCAAACGGCTTGCTTGTTTGAAAATCACCACCGTGAAATTGTAGAAAATAATTTTCTGAAGAAAATAAGCCATATTTTATTGAAATCGAATCATAATTGTGTAAACAAATAAACTTTGCAGGTTTTAAATTTTTTTCTTGAAAATTAATATCTCATCTTTCAGAAAGTGCAATTAATAAAAGTATTTTAATTATATAAATGTTAATTAATTATTTTTTTCAAGAGGTCTGCATTTCTGTGGATAAACGTCCTTAAAAAAGGAACTTGTTTTGTAAATATGAAATAAATATTTTTAAACAAATTACCATGTTTGTAGAATAATTTATTTGTTTTGAAATTTTAAATGTTGAAGTTGTACAGAATATTTTTTTTTTTAAGAATATAAGCCTCCATTGATAAAAATCGCAGTTTTAATAAAAAAAATCTTACAAGTGAAAGTGAGCGACAAGTAATACAAAATTATTAAATCATAATTTTAATTATATTTTGCTTTGAATCGAATACCAAATACCAATCTAATACCAAAAATACTTAATAATTAATATAGTAAGTAAAACGTTGCTGTGAATTACCTTAATGATAATAAATACGTAATATAAACTCTAAATTTAAATTGTTAGAATTTTCATTTAACAGAATTTGTTACCTTGAATTTACTTTTAGCCAAATTTTCATTTCTTTGAAATATTATTTGATAAAAATTCTATTTAACCTAATTTCTATATTGCTGGAATGTTGATTAAGGGTAGGTCCTAGTAAGGCAACACCATCTATATCGAAACTAAAATTTCATACAATTTTTTATAGTATTTACTTGAAAACAAGACAATAAAAACCTAAAGGATAATTGATTATTGACAAGAAATACACCAGCTAAAACTTTTTTTGAGTTAAAATAATGAAAAAAAATTAATGATGATAAATTAAATATGAGCATATATTTTTCCTAAAACTTTTAAGATATTTTCTTGGAAATAACAAACAAGAATGCAATTTTCATTTGGAGAATTAATAAACACTAAAAAATACACCAGCTAAGATTTACCAATCACGAAAATACCTACAAAAATTTTTTTTGACTTAACACATCAACACTATTTTACTGATTTTAACAGCCATTTGGTAGGTAATATGTGTCATAAGACGTTTCGCGATTTTTCGAACAGAAGGTGATTGGCGCTGTTGCTAACAAAAAATTGTATGAAATTTTAGTTTCGATATAGATGGTGCTGCCTTACTAGGACCTACCTTTAAACGAATTTTCATTTTATAGACTTTATTTTGTAAATTCTAGTTGATGAAATTCTATAAAATACAAATTCTAAATAATTAATTTTAGAGTTTATTAATTTTCACTACAAAATAGTAACTTTGACTACAGTAACTAATAAAAATATGTTATTTTTTATTGAATTTTTCTTATACAGACATATCTGAGGCATTCCATATGAGAGGACGGGGTCGCTTCTTACAATAAAAAATTTTAGCAATATTTTTTGCTTTACTTATAACTTTTTCCCTACTAAAATATAAATTCATTAATTGATAGCTACATTTTTGAGATGGCAATATTTTTTTTTCGAGATATTAATCAATTAAAATTAGAGTAATTTTAAAAGTGTCATTCCAATGCTTATCGAAATCCGAATCAAACAAACTTAATATAAACTATTTCGGCTGAATGGAGCGGATGTTAAATTAATAATTAATAATAAAAATTATTTAAGGGAAGATCCCAATTTGAGTTCCTTTAAAAAAGCACATTTTTAAGAATTTTTTTCCCTAAGATATTAAATGGAATAAGGCAAACTTTTATTTGCTTGAAAGTTACATTCCTAAAAAAAATAAAAATTTACCAACAAAAATATTTTATTTTATTATTTTTTAAATTAAAACAGAAGCAATGAGAAACAAAAATTTTGTGCTGGCGCTGGTGATTCCGGTCTTCCTGGTTGTCGGAAACAGAAAATTCAAATAGATTCCTTATCTGTGATATCTTCGCTACCGCCCGTACCTCAATTTTTAAATTTCACCGAAAATTAACAAAATGGAGGCAATTTTTGCAAAAGTGAACAAAAAATTACCCTTTTTTCCATAATTAATAGGTTAAAATAATTAGTTAAAATTAAAATTTTAAGACGATTGAAGTACGGGCGATAACCACTGTTGTGCTAAATGTCGTATTAAATTTTCAAGCGGATACTTTCAGTGTTTTTTGAAAAATCACCTGTGCCAGGCGTAAAAATGTTGTTTTGAGAAAAACGCGTTTAAAGTTTTAACAAATTTTTAATAAAAAAAATTTCTTATTAAAGTGGATGATCGTAGCTATAAAAAAAATACGTTTCTATTATTTTTCTGAGTACTACATGTACACCATTTTTCATTAAAGTCGGTAATTTACACTTTTGTAGGTTTACTTGTTAGAGAGTCCAAATCC